GCCCCCAAATGCAAAGTTTTTCAGGCAGGAACTTTAATACATGTGGTGAGGGCTCCTCCTGAGCATCTGCAAAGGTGACTTGTTGTCATCCTTCATGGCTCTTCTTCAGACTTCTCACTGCTGTGAGGCTCACAAATTCTGTGCGTTTTTATTGTGCTTCCTCTTGTGCTCTGGGGCGCACATTCATATCTGTGGCACAAGAGCTTTTGCGAGCTGTCTCATTTAGCTAGGTGTCTGTGGTTCAGCAACTAGCACAACGCAACCACAATTCCTGACTACAGTCTATGAACTGCAAAAAAGGGTAAACATACTTTTCAATAGAGAGTGCACTAGAGGGTCTAGGACAATACTGAAGAAATGGTGACACGGGTGAGAGAGACATGAGGAAAATTATTGCCAATATAGTATATGGAGTAATGGATGAATGATGCTTAAATCCTTTTTATATCCATAATGCCCAGTAATTATTAGTTCATTTTAATGAGAGAGAAAAGATGCAATATAATGTAATTTGGTGTTAATCAAGCGGTGCAATTTGGAAACTACTTTTCAGAAGTTTTTTCTTGTTTGGACCCTTGCTTTTACTGAACAGCAAGTAGCCATTTGTAAAGATCAAGTTAGGTGGTCTGTCTCCAAGGGAGGAACACTGTTCTTTGCTACAGATTAAAAAAATTAAAAATAAAAAAGCTTACAGGATGGAGACAGTGCCGCATCCATTCTAGCATTAAATATATAAAAAAATTGCTTGGCCCCTGTAAGGCACTTGCTGCAGTGTAACTTTCTAATTCTGTACAACTTTTTAAAATGGAGGTAAGGGAGGTGTTCCCCAAAATGGATTCTAGTTAAAAGTTGAGGATCATTACAGCATTATTTCAAAACTCAAACCAATGAATTAAGCCCATCTTGCATTGTGATTAGTTAGGTCAGTAACTGATCAATTAATACCAGCAGCCTTTAGGATACTTCTTCAAGATTTTATATGGGTTCACTGTGTAAATACAGCATGTCTTGTTAACAGCAGCACAAAAATCATCTATTGCCAATAAACGTGCACCAATAGATTGAGACCACTGATAAAAGAAAAATTAACATTATTGGCTATCGGACATTTTTGGCTAGTGTAGCGGATTAATGTACTGATAAACATGCCTTCCAGCCAGGGCTCCCAGACACAATGTGCATGTGTGCAGCCACATGCATGCACCAGCCAGGAATGCAGACAGCATCTTGCAGGTAGGTCTGTAGAAGAAAAGGGGTGTCGGGGAGGGAAAGGGCATGGGCGGGGGGAGATCAAGGCCCCCAAGGTGAGGGAGGGAGTGGGGCTGGGGCAGAGTGATGAATGGGATCCTGGGGGAATGGGATGGAGCCCATGGGCAATTTGTCCAGGGGATCAGTATCCTGGCATGTAAAAATGGCAGCAGGGCCGCTTGAACTAAAGATCATCAAAAGAGCTGTAATTCAAACTCTACCACCACCATTTTTAAGCACCAGGATGCTTTTAACCAGAGTGGGGCAGAGGCAGGCTTCCCACTGTGGGCTCAGGGCTTTTCACCCTGCTACTTTTGCTCTGGGAGTTGCATCCTGGTTGCACAGCGCCTCCTGCACTTCTAGCAACTGGAGGCACTGCTTGCTGCTGCCACTGCCGCCATTTGATGAGTTTGATTTCAAGTGCCCCCCTGCCATCTTTAAGTGCTGGGATGATGATCCCCTGGACTAGCTGCCTGCAGCTCCATTCCACTCCTTGCTCTGGACCTGGAGTCCCATTCACCACCCAGCCCCTACCCCTACGCCCTGTCTCACTGCGGGGTCCTCAAGTGTCCTTCCCCTCCACAGACTTACCTACAAGGCACTGCTTTCCACACTGCTCAGCTGCATTCCTGTAAGGCAGTTACCAGATTGGTATTGGTTGATATGCCTGGTGAATAATCAACGTCAGCCAAGGAAATCTTTATGGGTGCACCTCTAATTGCTAAGCACCTGGAGGAGGAGGTGACTAGGAACCAGGGTGGCCATCATAGAGGACATTCTGGTTTTCTGCTACTCTGTCCTCTATTGATATGAAACCTGACACCTTTTACGTCCTCTTATTTTTCTCTTCAAGAGGAAAATAGAGGACATAAACGCATCCAGTGTCTTATCAATAGAGGACAACCAGACTGTCCTCTATGATGGCGACCCTATTAGGAACAGTCAGCATAGATTCACCAATGGAAAGTCATGCTCAACCAACTTGATTTCCTTCTGTTATGAGATGACTGGCTCTATGGATGTGGAGAGAGTAGTGGACATGATATACCTTGACTTTAGCAAGGCTTTTGATATGGTCTCCCACAGCATTCTTGTAAGCAAGCTAGGAAAGTACAGGTTGGATAGATGGACTGTAAGGTGGATAAAAAACTGACTGGATTGTCAGGCTGAAAGGGTAGTAATCAATGGCTCAATGTCTAATTAGGAGCCAGTATTAAGTGGAATGTGCCAGGGTTGGTTCTAGGACTGGTTTTGTTCAATATCTTCATCAACAACCTGGAAGATGGGATGCAGTGCACCCTCAGCAAGTTTGTAGATGATATCAAGCTGGGGAGAATAGTAGATATGCTGGAGGGTAGGGCTAGGATTCAGAGAGACCTCAACAGATTGGAAGATTGAACCAAAAGAAATCTCATGGGATTCATGGGATTCTATCCTAAGTGCAAAGTCATGCACTTAGGATAGAACAATCCTGTGTGCTGGTACAGATTGTGGGGGAGAGGTCGGGGGCAGCAACTCTGCAGAAAAGGACCTGGGGGTTACAATAGACAATAAGATGAATATGAACCAACTGTGTGCCCTTATTACCAAGAGGGGTAATGGCATACTGGGCTGCATTAGTAGGAGTGTTGCTAGCAGATTTAGGGAAGTGATTAGTCCCCTCTACTCAGCAGTGGTGAGGCCATGTCTGGACCACTGTGTCCCCTCTATTTGGCACTGGTGAGGCCACATCTGGAGTATTGTATTGAGTTTTGGGCCTCCTACTACAGAAAGAAAGGATGTGGACAAATTGGAGAGAGTCCAGAAGAAGGCAATGAAAAAGGATAGGGGGCTGGGGCACGTGATTTATGGGGAGAGGCTGAGGGAGCTGGGCTTATTTAGTCTGGACAGGAGATGATTGAGAGGGAATATAATAGCAGTCTTCAACTTCCTGAAGGGGGGTTCCGAAGAGGATGCAGCTAAACTGTTCTCTGGTGGCACATGACAGAACAAGGAGCAATGGCTGCAGCAAGGGAAGTTTGGTTAGTTATTAGGAAAAACTTTTTAACTAGAAGGGTAATAAAACACTGGAACAGGTAAGTTACCCAGAGAGGTTGTGTGCTCCGTTCTTGGAGGTTTTTAAGACCCAACTAGACAAAGCCCTGGCTGAGATTATCTAGTTGGCAATGGTCCTGCGTTGAGCAGGGGATTGGATTAGATGACCTCCTGAGGTCCCTTCCAAACCTAATTTTCTATGATTCTATGAAAAAAGATATTGTTATACTGTGATAAATTATTTGCAATAGAGTTCACATAATTTGCCCCAGCACCTAACATTTGTTTCTGTTAATGTGTGACCACATCTAACCTTGCAAAATACTATAGGAGTGAGTGAGAGTTGATTTCCACTTCTCTCTCTCTCTCACACACTCACACACTTTATTATGCTACTGGATGAATAGTTTTAGGACCATTTTTAAATGGGTGGAAGAGGCCATCTGTGTTTTCCTAGGATATTTATAATGTATTTTCTTACCAAGTTTGAGAGAGTTCAGGGCAGAGTCCAAGAAAAATTTGGCAATGAGAAGTTAGTTTTGTGAGTATTGTGGTGTATAAATATTGAGTCTCCTTATTAACTGGTTTCCTGGGTATAATGACAAGTTGTCCTCTCTTTTTTTCAATAGCTCTTCCACTTTAGTTTAGTTTAGTTGCTTGTACACTGAATTTTAGCATGTTGATGACAATTTTGTCAAACTTTAAGAGAAATAAAGTTATCTGAAGAATGCAAAGATACTTGTGTGAGATTTTCAAAGGTGATGAGAAAATATTGATTGCATTGTCACCATTCTTAAGCCAAATTAATCTATGTTTTAATATTTTTAAGACTTTGCTTGTGAAAGATTCCAGAGTAACCTTAGGGACTGAAGACCTTTAGGAACAGATTATTTTCCATCTATTAGGTTCCGAAGTCCATTTAGACACCTAAGTCTGATTCTCTTCCACCCTGTTCACATCCCTGGAAATCATCAATGCATGTACTTCTGTAATACCCAGTCATCTTGTCATTAAGACTGAGGGGAAAAAAAATCAGAATCCATTGTTTATCAGATATTGGACCAGGGTGGAATATAATTGCACTTAGGCACCTAAGTCCTTTACAAGCCTAATTGATGGAATAGAATTTGGTCCTTGTTTATACAACAGGTACAGTTGAGACATCACTAGTGACAAGTCCTCTTGCACAGTGCCTCATCTCCGAGTTGGCAGGACCATCTTAAATGGAATCATGGCCTATTTGGTTCTTGGTGTTTCTGATTAGACTGAAACTGCAAAATAAACCTGTTCACAGCAAGGTTTGTGGTGTGGATATTTGCTCACTAGAAAATAAAATAAGCAGAAAATCATGGGGGCATTGACTGTTAGCAACCTTTTATTATTAGTCTTAGGCTGGGTATGATTTGTCCCCTAAAAGTGAGTGTCATGTGGCATTTCATTCCTATTAGGATCCAGGAATCTGAATTTTTAGTGCAGCACTTGTCCAAGCACTGATTATGAAATGCTCCACAAGAAGGGGTGGGAAGTATTCCTTTGCATTTATGTAAGCACCATGTCTTGTTAGAAACCCATAATGCATTTCTGATTTTTTTTTTTTTTTTAAATCGCATAGTACTGACATTAGTAATTTAAAGTACACACTATGTAATTGACAGATCAATTTTCAAAGGAATTCTGATACATTTTCTTCATACTTTTTTTTCTTTCTTTTTTTACAGATGATCTTTTTGGGAATTATTCTGCTACCACTGCGGATCGTATGCATTGCAATAATTTTGCTTCTAACATGGCCTTTTGCAGCAATTGCAACTTATTCCCAGCCTCCGGGAGGGTCTGCACCACTCAAGGAATGGAAAAGGTAAAAAATTACTATTAAGTTTCTGGTAATTTTTATCACAATATTCAAAAGCTCCTCCCTTTGGTAATTCTTCCATTCAGGACTGGAGTATTGTGTGTCCTGTTTTGGGCACGGCACTTCAAGAAAGATGTAAAAAAATTGCGGGGATGGGGGACGAGTCTGATGGAGAGCAACAAAAATCATTAGAGGCCTAGGAAACATGACTTCAAAGGCACCTGACCATGTTGTCATGCCTCTTTTTCCAAGGGCTGCAGCTGCACAGATTAGCTTCCAGTTGTGACTGTGCCATTGCTTTTTTTCCCACCTCCCCCTACTCAACACCTGGGACAATTGGCGCTGTCACCTACCCTAGTTACGCTTCTGTAAGAAAAGGTTAAAAGCATTGGGATTGCAGAGTGTGCAGAAGGGAAGACAGAGGCGGGATTTGATACTGGTTTTCAATATCTGAAGGGTGTTTTTAAAGTGCAAAGTGATAAAATATCCTTTGTGACTGCAAAGTGCAGGCCAAGAAGTAATGGTCTTAAACTGCAGCAAGGGAAATTTAGGTTGGATATTGAAAATAATTTTTTAACTGGTTAAACACAGGAGCAGGCTACCCAGAGAGACTGCAGGTTAGATTAAACACTTGGATGAGGTAGTTGAGACTGAGATCATCCTGCTTTGAGCAGGGTGTTGGATCTAATGACCTGCTGAGGTCTTTTCCAGCCCTATTTTTCTGTGATTCTTTGATGCTAACTCCAAACGTAAATAGTTTTGTTTCTCTTTTCCTTGCCTTCTTTTTGAGAATTATCTTTAGTTATTTGTAATATCAAAGAAATATTTCAAATGTATTGTGGGGAATGTCTGCTTCACATGTTTGAAACAAAATTAATGAGATTTCTGCAGTCTTGCAAATATCAGAAACTTTATCTATGGAGACAGACCAAGTTGACGTGTGCTTTTAAACTTGATTCAACAAACACCTTGTTAAACTAGTTTAGTTAAGAAGATAACTACAGTAAAAGCTGTGTTAACCAGTATTCTAGTAGTTGGAATACTGTATTAACTAGAATTTCTGGCCAGCCATCAAGATGCGGAGAAAGCTTGCACATGGCAACTGCTACCATCACCCACCACCTGCTCTGTGTGGCTGCCGCCACCTCCCCCTCCCCCTTCCGCCCCACATGCAGCCACTGCCATCCTCCACTGCTCATGGAGAACAGTTCACAAATAGCCTTGGAACTTCTGAGAATGATGGTGACAGAAATATATATATAAATATATATAAGTGCTGTGTTCATGTAACGCACACATCTTGAGAAGCAGGATATAGTTGGTAGTATTTGTTGTTACCACTACAACACTACTATAAAAATAGCTGTAGCAACTGTAGCAAGTTGAAGTTTGCAATTCCAAGCACTGTTTCATAGCTGTGTCCATTACAATGAGGGATTCTTGGTTTAGTCCCTGGTCTTTCAGTCCTTGGATGCATTCCAGGTTCTTCCTCCTTCTGCAACTGAATAACACTAGAGAGTGAAAACCAACAGGAAGTGAATTGCAGCGAGATCAGGAAATAGGTCAGAATTCCTGGGTAGAGGAACCTTATCTCTTTTCCATCCTAACTGGGGGTTCTTTATTAAATCTGATTGTTTAAAAATGTAGGATTGAAGTTGTTTCAGTGACTACTTTTGATTCAAACTGGAATTCATAATTACTGTTTACAATACAAAAAGACACTAAAGTCTGTTTCTTTCTAACTAGTGCTGCTTATCTCAGGGTCCTCTACTGTACAACCAAAGAAACCCTATTCTTATGATTTTATTTTAGTTTTAACAGTGTGAAGAAAACAATGTCCTTGGTGACTAAGGAAGGTAATGAACTTATATATGCTGTTGCTTTTTCCGTTTAAAGGAGAATGATTCAAATCGTCCTCAAGGGCCTAGGACGTTCCATGTTCTTTTTGATGGGCTTCCAAGTTACAGTGAAGGGGAAAGTAGCAAGTCCGTTGGAGGCCCCCATCTTTGCTGTAGCTCCACACTCAAGCTTCTTTGATGGGATAGTCTGTGTCTTGGCTGGCCTGCCTTCAATGGTATCCAGACCAGAGAACCTGGTGGCCCCAATCTTTGGCAGTAAGTAAAGTGGTATCATTTGACATGGGATACAATTATCAGAGTCCTCCCACTGAGGAGTTCAAGTTTCATTTTCAAAAGTGACTGAGGGCCAGGTTTTTAAGTATTTAAAGCAGCAGTTCTCAACCTTTTGCACCTTACATCCCACCAACCATTTTGTCAAAAAACCCCGGTCCCACCATGATAAAAATAAAACCCCACTGTCTGAGATATCAGTTGAGTCATCTGTTTGAAGTGCAAACAACTTTGATTTTTTTTTGATCGGGCAGTGAGTTGAAGTTCCACCTGTACAATTTTTGAATGCGTTGAGAAACACTGATTTAAAGCACCTAAGTGTTGAGAGAGACCTTGTAGTATCTATTACAGCTACTAGACATGAAATTCCATTTGAAATCAATATGAATTAGGCACCTGACTTGCTTATGCACTTTTAAAATCCCAGGAAGTACCTACTTAAGATACCTCTCTGGGCACTTAAGATACCTTTGAAAGGACACACTTATATGTGTTAGTGTCTTTGAAAGTCAATAGAACATAGGCTCCCATGTCAGTAAGTGAATCTTGTAGCAAGTTATTGCCACTGAATCACTTTAAACCAGAACTAATGTCTTCATTTGAATACATGATCAATTCATCTCATAAGTGACATAACAAGTTTCTCTTGTATCTAACATAACATAATAACTTTCATGTATTCAGGTTTTTCATGTTTTGCTTTATTACATTAGAAATTATTGAATGATGCTTTCTAATTATGATTCCTTTTTAACTATGACTTGTGTCAAGCTGTATTTGGATGAAAATTGGAATTCAGTTAAGATGCACAAAAATAGCTCTTAAAATTATTAAATCACTCTGATTTTAATCATCTTGGAATTTTCAGGCTCCTTTTTGGGAAAGTAACTAGGGAGACAGAACGTTTAGGATGATCAGTCCCATTAGGATAGAGGAAATGCTGTCTTCCAACAGGACTGGAGCTAAGGAGCCCATGCAGAGGGAATTTGACATGGAAGTGGCTTGTTCCTCAGAGACTCCTTGCATGTTACTGTGCTAAGGAGACTTTGAGGAAGCAGTGAAGTTGAAAGTTGCTATGTAGATTCTCAACTCATTTATAGGACCAGAAAGTTGCAATGAGAGCCCTTTGGCCCACAGGCTAGAAAGGGCCATATTGTAGAGTCAGAGGCTGAATTCTTTCTCCCTGCTTTCCACCCCAATTTTGGCTCCTCCAGTTGTGAGGAGCCAGATTTTAGACCTTCTTTCTGGTGTCTTCACGTGCTGAAAGGGGACACAGCATTGGTTAAACCTGCTTCCCATTGAAAAGGCTGCCTTCACAATTCCTACAACCAGAAACTTCATTTTTTTGTTAAACAGGAGTTTGTTCTGTAGCAACAAATGCCTTTTCTCAGGAAAAATGTCCTCCCTCTGGGGAGGGAGAAAATGGGTGTATCAAAGGGTCTGATTCACAAATATATAAATTATTTTGGACGTCAAGTAGTTAGGGAATGTTACTGGAAAAAGTGCAAAACAGGCCTTAATTAAGGAAATTATGCTTCCTGTACTGCTTTCTGTGATTAAACTCTTGGAGTTCGCTCAAGTCTTCTCTCTCTCGTATCAGGAAACTTTATAAAAGAAAGAAATAGCACTTTTTACCTTTCCATCCTCTGGTTCTTCCACCCCCACATTAATACAGAATAAAATATCCAACCCATTTTATTTCTGCAGTTGGACACATGCTATAGCCTTTTTTACTGATGTCTTGTATAACAGCACTTCCTTTTTTTTCCCAAGGGAATTGGCTTGAAGGCTACAGTGTTCTTCATAAGCTATGTATCTCAAAGCCAAAACCCTACAAAACAATGCAAGAGAATTTACAAAATGCAGTTATACTATCAATGTCTTTTAAAACAAGTATTTTTTAAATTCTCATGGCAGGAAGGAGAGTCTTATGGTTCAAGTACTGGACCAAGCCTTGGTAAATCTGGATTCAGTTTCTGCCTGTCACAAACCTCTTCTGTGGTCAGCCTTTAATTTCTGTCCCCCCCCCTCCAATAAAATAGAGGACAGGAATATTTATTTCATTTTCCTGCCATCTTTTGTCTGATCTTTTTATCCCGGATACTGTTCAAGTGAGGGCCTCTCTCTAAATACATGGTTATAAATAGGGCTGTGCAAAGCTTCAGTAGCTGATTGGATTCGGAGGAGATTTGGCTCACCTCAGGGGCTGAATCTCTGAATTGGAATCGAATTGGGAGACCAGTTAAAAGTTCTGAATCAATTTGAAGCATCCGAATTGATTTGGAAAAGCTTCAGAAAAGGTTCCCAGCCGTAGCGGGGGGGATGTTACTTGGGGACGGGGGCAGGGGGACACGGGATGTGGGCACGGCTTCTTGCCTAGCTGGGGTGGGGGCGGGATGTGAGTGCTCTGGGTGGAAGGGGCAAGTGGCAGCAGGGCATAACCCCCACTCCCAGTGCTGCCATGCCCACATCAGCACTGGGAGCAGGGGCTATACCCTGCTGCCACCTGGACCAGACTGTGCTTGCATCTGCCACCTGGGTAAGCAGCAGCAGCACAGAGCCCCCGCAGCTCCTCCCACCAGGGCAGAGGCAGACACAGCTGGAGGAGCCACAGAAGAAGCCCCCATGGCTGCCCTGCCCAGCCCCATCCCCTGTCCGGTCCAGCATCCCGGCACTAAAAAAACAAAAGCAGCCCTGCACTCACTGGTTTTGGCATCAGCGATTGGGGGCCTCTGAGGGCTCATGACAAAGCCGCCCCCATGCAGCATGGGGCAGTGGTGGGGGATCGCCCCCCCCGGCCTGGCACCCACATGGCAGCTGTCACATTGTGCAGGTGCAGCACAGTTCAGCAGGGCGCTGCGCCTTGCCCGGGAGCTGGGGCAGCTCCACATGTCAGCTGGAGCATGACAGTACTCAGCCCCAGTGGCCCCAGCTCCCAGACAGTGCATGACACCCTGCTGAGCTGCACTGCACCCGCACCATGGGGTAGCTGCTGTGCGAGTGCCAGGGGGTGGGTGATCCCCACTTCCACCCTTTGCCCCACACTGCACAGAGGTGTTCTGCCATGAGTGCCCAGAGGCCCCATTTGCCACTGCCAGAGCTGGTGAGTGCATGGCTTTTCATTTTAATTGCCAGGATGCTGGTGCCAGGTGAGGGGGGAGATTGGGGAATGGGGGATGTGTGTGGGGGCTCTGCCACATGGCTCCAGAGCCCCCACAGCCACTGCTAATGCCGGTGAGTGCAGGTTTCTTTTTTGTTTGTTTTTTTTTTTTTGATTCCCGGACAGCTGGGGCCAGGTGCAGGGGCCAGATGGGAGGGGGAGGGTGATTGGGGAGTGGGGGCTGCATGGGGGGCTCTGCCATGAGTGCCCAGAGCCCCCACAGTCCTTGTACAGCTGGTAAGTGTGGAGCCTTTTTTTTTCTTAAGTGCCAGGAGGCTGGGGCTGGGCAGGGCAACCCTGGGGGCTTCTCCCACAGTTCCCCCTGCCCAGAGAGAGGCAGGCACAGGGGGAGGAGCCGTAGGAGAACCTGCAGCTGCCCAGCTGTGCCTTCCTCTCCCAGGCCGGTCCGAATCACTGAATCTCTTCTGAAGCTGATTCAGCCAAATCAATTCAGGACAGTGATCTAAATCTCCAAATCAAATCACTGTTCTCTGAATTGCCCGAATCTAAATCGAATACTTCCCTATTCGCACAGGCCTAGTTATAAAGTGCCTGTTAAAATGATGCCTTGATCTCAGGTGCTAATATGATATGAGTAACTTGAATCTCTCTTTCACAGGAATTTTAAGTTCCCTTCAGCCTGTACTGGTATCACGTCAAGACCCTGATTCTCGAAGAAATACAATCAATGAAATAACAAAACGAGCAACATCAGCAGGCCAATGGCCACAGGTGAAATGAGCTTAGTCAGTTCTGCACAGTGGCATCTTTCCAAGTAAACTATGAAGTTTAAGTATCAAAGGTCTTTTCATTTGGGTATATATTTGTAGCTATAACACTAAAGCTAGAAGAGAGTGTGCCTGACTTCGGGTGTATCACAGCCTTTAGAAAAGGAAAGGGGGTTTCCAAGATGATTACCCTTGAGTTACTAAGGAATTATTTTTAAAATCAGAACTTACTCACAGCTTATTACAAATGTGTGCAAAGGACTGTAAGGTTGTTTCTTTTTTCCCACTTCAGGATCTAAGCGTATCAATCACCCCTTGAAACTTGGGGTTGTCTTCACTGCAGCAGTTGGCTCCAGTTTGGACACTTGAGTTTCTTCACTCAGCTTAGGCTAGCTCCAGTGAGCGCTTTCACCCTGTAAAATAATGCTTCGTGCACAGTGACTGAATTAATATTTGAAGAGTCGTTGTAACCTAAGGTACTCTGTGTCCACTGCCTTTTTAGCACTAGTATTAGTAGGACTCAGGCTGTCCCCAGGCCCCATGAAGGGTTGGCTCATTCAAGCTTAAACCACCACTTATCTGTGTGTGGATAGGAGTCACATTAGTGGTAGAACTCTGGATTATACCTCAAGCTAATGATGCAGTGAAGACAAACCCTAAATAGGCATATAGCTTTACCTGTATCTTGGAAGCCACTTCACCAACTTTCCCCAAGTTGAGCCTGGTCTTGGCTGTGTTCTCTAACTTGCTTTAGGTAAGTCTTCAGCACCAAGCTGGGTTTTGTGCTTCTAGTACTTCTTTCAGGGGACCCAGACTAGAAAGCTGATGTAGAGTCCTCTGAATGTCAGGCTTTTCTGTAGAAAAACAGTGTTGGAGGAGCAGCTTCACAGATACTGTGGCAGGCACTTTCTCCTCAGCATAGAATTTCCTAAACTTATTTTCATTTCACCACACACTTATACAAAGCTCTTTAGATAGAATTTAGACTTCTTAAATTTGGCTTATGAACACATACTTAGAGCTACCTTATAAATGTTTATGGCTTCCTTCATTATTTCCCTGTTTGTCAAGTGTTTGTCTGTCACACAAGTATTTTAAACAAATAAATATATCAAGTCTAGGACAGCCTTCTAATAACATTGTGCTTAGAAAGTGACGTGAGTGAGCCAGTGTGGTTATTTTTTACATACTTAAAAATGATTTCATGTAAGAAGACAGAACATGGCCCAGGTTTGTCAGCCCTCCACTCGAGAGAAAGGATACAGAGGTGGTTTTATACAAAAAGAATCTTTTGGGTGTCAGGGGCTGCTTAGGGTTGTGGCCTAAATTAGAACAGCCTTGGAGATTTCTAGGTTACAACATGTATCCCAGGCTCTCTGACTTCTGATCCTATGCATTGGCCACATGGTTTTCTTTTCCCATTTGATCATAAAAAAATTGGTGGGACATATTCTGTCAGTTTGGGAACTCCTCTAACCCACACCTGATCTAATTTAGTGCTCCCCTCAAGTGAACTAATGTTAGATCAGGCCAGTCATTTTTTGCCCTATCTAATCTTCCAGACTTCTCAGTGTAACGTCTGTACATACCCTTCATGTTCCTAGTGCCTACTCCCATGCCTGAACTACTACTCCAATGCTCTTCGACAGAATTTGTGGAAAATTTTGTCTCCACATTTTTAAAACAAG